TAGTACAGATAAGGCACACTGTTGGGTGAGAAAAGCAAGTGAAAATGCTGTAGTATTGTCTTAGTCCATTCAGGCTACCACATACCAGGTGGCTTACAAATCACGGAAATTTATTTCTCCCAGTTCTAGAAGCTGGGAAATCCAAAATCTCACTCTAGTGAAGGCCTGCTTCCTGGTTCATAGACCACTGTCTTTCCCTATGTCCTCACATGGTGAAAGGACCAGGGATCTCTGGGGTTCTTTCTGTGAGGGCACTCCTCATTCTATTTATGAGGGCTTTGCCCTTATGACCTGATTACCTCCCAAAAGCCCCACACTGAAATACCAGCACATTGAGGATTAGGTTCCAACATGAATTTGGGGGGGCAGGGGAAGACAAAGAGTCTATAGCAAGTATGTAGGGTAAATACAGCTTAATATCACTCATGTTTTTTAAAAAAACCATGCAGACAGTTCTATTTCAGTAGGTGTGTGTATATGTGTGTGTGTGTGTGTACACACACACACACACACACACACACACACACATACATATACTGAGAGAGTCCAGAGCTGTAAACTTTAACCTTGCCTCTGGCAAGAGAATTCTAATATTTAATCTGTAGGAGAGGAGTGAGTAAAAGAAATGTTCAGAGGGAAATTTATAGCATCGAATGCATATGTTAGAAAAGAAGATCTAAAATCACTTATCTAAGTTTCCATCTTAGGAAACTAGACAAAGAGCAAATTAAATCCAAAGTAAGTAAAGGAAAAAGAATGATAAAAATTACAGCAGGAGTCATTGAAGTTGAACACAGGAAATCAGTGGAGAAAATCAACAAAAGCTGGTTCTTTGATCATAGATTGTATACATCCGTTTTATGTTATCGGTAAAATCGATGAGCCTCTAATCAGGCTAACTAAAAGAAAGGAGCGAGGATACAGATTACAAATACCACAACTGAAAGAGAGGATACCACTACAGATACCAGGACATTCAAAGGATAATCAAGGAATACTATGAACAGCTCCATACCTACAAACTGGATAACCTATGTGAAACGGACCGATTCCTTGAAAAATACAATCTGCCAAAACTTACTCCGGAAGTAGACACTTTGAATAGGCCTATGTCAGTTAAGAAAATTGAATCAGTAATTAATATCCTAGAAGACCTTGGGTTTGGCCATGGCTTTTTATATACAACACCAAAGGATAAGCTGGATTCCATTAAAATTAAAATTGTCTGCTGTGAGAAAGACACTGTCAAGAGAATGAAAAGCCACAAAGAGGTTGTAGAAAATATTTGGAAAAGACCTATCTGATAAAGGACAGTTACCTAAAATACACAGAGAACTCTTCAACTCAACAGTAATTTCTTACTGTTGATGACCCAATTTAAATATGAGCCTAAGTTCTTAGTAGATACCACAGAAGATCTATGCGTGGCGAATAAGCATATAAAAAGATGCTTCGCATCAGCGAAATGCAAATTAAAGCAACCCTAAGATACCACTACACACCTTTTAGAAAGGCCAAAACCCGAACACTGACATTATCAAATTATGCCAAGGATGTTGAGCAGCAGGAGCTCTCATTCTTCACTGGTGGAAATGCAAAAATGGGACAGCCACCCTGAAAGATATAGTTTGGCAGGTTCTTACAAAATTAAGCATCCTCTTTCCCTGTGATCCCAGCACTTGTATTCTTCGGTATTTATCCAGAAGGCTTGAAAACTTAAGACCACACAAAAACCTGCATACAGATGTTTAAAGCAGCTGCATTTGTAATTGCCCAAACTCGGAAGTAACCGAGATGTCCTTTGGTATGTGTATGGATAATTAAACTGTGGTAGGTACAGACAACGGAATATTATTCAGCACTTTTGAAAAGAAAGGTGCTGTCAAGCCTTGAGGAGACTTAAATGCAAATTACTGAGTGAAAGAAGCCAGACTGAAAAGGCTACCTACCGTATGATTCTAAGTATAGGACATTCTGGAAAAGGCTGAACTATGGAGACCATGAAAAGGTCAGTGGTTGCCCGGGATTGAGGGGAGTATGTGGAGCACAGAGGATTTTTAGGGCATTGAAACTATTCTATGATATTATACTGGTGGATCCAGACCCCACTGAGTATACAACACCAAGAATGAACCTAATGTAAACTATGGCCAGACAGAGTACGTTCACTTGTAACAAGAATACCACACTAGTGGCGGGGGGTGGGGGGGGATGTTTATAATGATGGTGGCTATGCATAGGTTGGGGCAAAGATAGTATATGGGAAATCTCTACCTTCCTCTCACTGTTGCTGTGGAATATTCTAAACCAAAAAGTCTAAGAAAATAGTGAAAGGAGAGTATATTGTGTAAAGTTAATTTTATAGAAAACATAGTTAAATGAGGGAGGGGGCAGTGTCCAGAACAACAAAAACTTAAACACAGATACAAGTTAACAAAAACATGCAAGAGATTTATGTTGAAAATTATGCAGCTTCAAGATCATAATTGAAAATCTGAATAGCTGGGAAGAAAGACTTCATGTTCCTGTAAGGAAAGATTGCAAGGTTGCTTCTTTTCAAAGTATTAATTAGCGTAATTTTCATCAGAGTCCTGGTAGGACTTTTGGGGGGAACTCAGAAACTTTATTCGAAAGAGTAAATGTGCAAGAAGCAGCGAGAAGTATTTAAAAAGAAATAATAATGAAGGAAACTTACCCTACCAGCTATCAAAATGCAGCAAAGGCTTCTTTGAATCATGTGGGGGTAGTGGTGCAGTATTCCGACAGACAGACCAGTGGACCAGATTAGAGGACTCAGCGTCAGCATGCTTGTTGATGTGAATTCTAAGACAGTTTTTCAATTTTAAGATCTTTGACAACGGGACTCATTTTACAATTAACGTAAACTATGATGATCAGCTTTTTTTCCTTCTCTCTTTATAGAACATACAGGATAGGGCATCTTAAAATCTGGAACATCTTTAGATTGAAGGAAATACCATGAAATCAAATATATATACATGCACGCACATACATACTCACGCACTCACACTCATGAAATGAGACCCAATTCAGAAACCCCTCCAGGTTTTACAGTAGAGTCGTATCTGCAGCCATGAGTTTTATCTTTCTAGGGCACGTTCTGACTTGAATGCTTTAACGATACAGTGAAAACGGATTGCAGAGTAAAGTTCTAAATCTTGGAAGATATGCATGCAGGATTTCATGAAGTCTATGAAAATGATGTGGAAGAAGTATTTAATTCATCCATAGCCATTGGCAAATAAGAATTTGGTTTTCTTTTTCAAGCTGAAATCCCTATCAAGACTTTCCTTCATAATTTATTAGAAATTTTGGTCTTCATTTTACGTATGTTCACTTAAAGTGGCCTATGTGTAATGTCAGCTATCCTCAGAAGACAAAAATATCCTACTTATTGTACAGGTGGTATTTCAACAAAGCATAGTATCAGAAGAGTAATGGGATAATGGCTCTTTGCTGGACAAAGTAATAACTTGGATTTCTGCCTCACGAACACAAATTTCATAGAGAGGTGAAATTTCTGCACATGAAAAAAATAAAAATTCCAGAAGAAAATATAGGAAAATAGTTTTTAGGAAGCCAAAGTCTTGAAGCATGCTCGCTCAATAGGAGTGATGTTGTCCCTGAGGTGGCATAAAAGGGTGCATAGGAGGTGAGAAAAGTCTGAGCTGTTACAATGTTTATGGCCCTCCAGAGGGCCACCATGTACATCAACAAATATGCAGTGTATTTGTGGTATTGAAATTTCATGGAGACAGAGGCATTTAGAGCGGGAAATGTCTAACAAGACTTCTTAGTAGACGTGATAGTGAAAAACAGTCAAGAAATGGTGCCATGGAGGAAGTGACTGTGTCACACGTGCTATGTTTCACACATGCTATATATACACATGCTATAGACACACACACATATATGTACATTTTAAACTTACTGGTTATGAAAGACCTGTAAACCAAATTAAAAGGTGGGTGACAGATTGGGAGAAAAGAGTTTTCAACTTATGTAGTGGACAAAGGAGTGTACCTTTAACATATTGGTGTTCCCACAAATGGTTAACCAAGAAACAACTCATCAGAAATAAGGGCAAAGGATGTGGAGTTAGGTTTGGTTTATGTAGTGCAGTGACCCCATTCCTCAGTTTATTTGGTGTTTATTAGATGTGAATGACCATCTGTATTTCAAAAGGAATGACACATAACACCTTCAGGGGCCCCTTCTGTTTTTTTTTTTTTGTTTTGTTTTGTTTTTTTTAATTTTTTTTTTTTTTTTTTTGAACGTTCATTCATTTTTGGGACAGAGAAAGACAGAGCATGAACGGGGGGAGGGGCAGAGAGAGAGGGAGACACAGAATCGGAAACAGGCTCCCGGCTCCGAGCCATCAGCCCAGAGCCTGACGCGGGGCTCGAACTCACGGACCGCGAGATCGTGACCTGGCTGAAGTCGGACGCTTAACCGACTGCGCCACCCAGGCGCCCCAATGTCACCACAGAGTTGGAACAAATAATGTGGCGTGGAAAAATCCATTTAGTGTTTTCCTTTGTTACAGTGTGCTTTTTCCTAATGTCCTGAATGTACGATGTCATTGACTTTATCCGTTTTCCTTTTAAGGAATATGGGGGCGTACTGTATTTACAGCCAAACTTAAATGTTTTTGTTCTAACAAGAAGATTTGGGCTATTTTATAAGTGTGTATTTAAAACAAGTTCTAGAAATTCTCATGGTGAAATATATAGGAATATGTTACCAGATATAAACGTTGTTTTATGTTAATGAATATGGAATTTTAAATATCCTGAATATTTACATGTTAAACATGCTGAACTACGTATTAAAATACTATATATTAATGCTGTTTTGTTATTTTAAAAGTTAATCGGAATTATAGACCTGTCTTACCTTCAGTTAAATACAGCTCTTTGGGCTCTCTCTGTGTATATTTTTATTTTTGTTTATTTTTTTTCCATCTGGCTTTTCATTAGCAATCCAGTGGGGAGAAGATGGCCGTCCATTTCATTTTCTCTTCTATACTGGCAAACAGTCGTATTATTCACTAATGCACGTAAGTATATTACGTTTATGATTAATAATATGAACCGTAAGGTAAGTGACTAATTATATCAGAGATTAGTCAGCTTCAGAACTTACCTTGTATGTTTCATATTGAACTAAAACTAAGACGTCTAGAGGTAAGGCAGTGTGTTGAAAAGCTTCATATTTTATTAATTCATTTTTGCTAGTGGTAAACATCACAGAATTTATATCAGGGCGGTTTGACCTTCAAAGGCTGTTACTTCCAAATTAAGATCATTTTAGGGGATAGGTGCTCAGCTCAGTAATAAGGCCCGAGTGTGCGTCGAAGGTAAAGGGCGAAGCAGGGAAGGGGACAAGTATATGCTGCTGTCAGGGGCTGTAAGGCCTTTACCGTGGGAGAGAGTCCAATTGTTGTCTGTGCTTTTTGTTTATTCATACATAATTTTTGCTTTTCAGAAGCGAAGGCAGTGTAGGAATCTAGAATTTGTGACTCCACAAGACCTAAGAAATGATTTTATTACACTTTGACTTGCAACCGCATTTGAGTGGACTGGGACCCGCTTTTATTTTGTTTCAGAGCTAGAGGTGTCTGATGGCAGATTTGGGAAGTCCCTAGGGTACCACGAATGAAAGGCCTGGATGCTAATATCCAGTTTTCAACAGCAGAACCCGTTCACCGTAAGAACACGATGTCAAGTTTTATTTTCTTCATTATGTCATTTTTAAAAGTTGCGAAAACATTCACCGGGCTTCCCCCGTCCCCCGTCAGATTTCAGGTCGCTTGACTCCCAGGCACACATTCACTCTGCTGTTTCAGGACGCCCCGGTGTTTATTTGTGCGCCACAAACCCACAGGACAAAAATCCCCCCTTGTCAGGTACATTTATTTCTTGGGGAAAAAGGAAAAAAAAAAAGAAAACCTTCTTTTCGCTCTTTGTTGACCTTGGGCAAATGAGCTTCTTGCCCTGGCAGAAATGAAATGAATGATAAATGTGGAGGGTGTCTTTGCTGAGTAATGGAGCCGCGGCTGGCGCTCCGCCGAGCTCCTCCGCGCCGCCCGAGGCTGCCCGAGGACCCCTGCTGTTCATTTAAATAGGTATGTCAAATCTGCCTCCCAACGCCGCTGGTTTGATCTGTGGTAATATTTGTGAAGGTTCCATATGGACTTGAGCCCCCTGCAGTGCTAAGAAATAATGTACAACGCTTCATGGTGCAGACGCAAATTTTCTCTGAAAAGGGATGCGGTGCCGCGTTTTAGCTGTCGGAGGGGATGATGGAGCTGACGCGCTCGGCCTGTCAACTTGTTACACGGATGGGTTGCACGCAGCGAAGCTGTGGAAAATCTGTGCCTTTTAACTTTTCTACTTAATCACGGTTGTAGCATTGCCTTTAGACTGTATGCTACATTAATTCTCTTCCTGCCTTCTGCCTTTCATCCCAAGTTTCACGGAAAAAAGTAAAGCATGCAGGTCTTGTAGAGGAGCCTTATCAAACAGCTGTCATCTGACAAGCCATTTGCATTTGTTTGGGCTGAAACTGAGCGACCCAAGGGCAAGATATTTTGTTGCGTTCCATCATAATGAAGAAATTACACATTGCAAAAGAGGCCCAACTTTTATTTTGGCTGCCGTGTGTGTTTTGGAAAGGTACCGCTCCAGAAACCGGTCGGTTTCTCCGTAGATGAAACACTACCATAGTCTGACTCAAAGGTCGAATTACATTAATAAACGTGTTTTTTTGCTTGTTTTTTGTTGTTGTTGTTTTTGTTGTTGTTGTTTTTCTTTTTGAGTAATACAGTTTGTGTCGCAGAGAGCAGAGTTCTTTGGGCTTTTCTGTGTCAGTTAAATTCAGTAGTTTCGGTCCGGTTTATTTCGTCGGGGGTTTTGACTCCCCTCGCAGCGTGGGGCTTCGCTTACACCCGCGAATCACAGATCTTCGGGCTTAACTTGAGCGTTTAGTTCAGATAATTAGTAAAACCTTGTATCTCCCAAACTTTCTCGAATGGAATTGTAAGGTGAACTTCTGTAGGGAAGAAAGGATAAATGCTTTCCTAAACGTACGCCAGTCACTTCAGCGTCATGTGTGGCCAGTTTTATTATGAATTCACAACTGCAGTCCTACCAGCCTCGTTTTCCAGATCATGCCAGATACCCTTTGTTGCTTCGAAACAGTACGTGACTGAATGAATACTCACTGACTGGCCACTTTGCAGAAGTGGTTCTGTGGGGGAAGGCCGCACTGGGTACGAAGTAAAAGGTTCCAACTTGAAGCCGCTTCGTGTGTGTTTGCCGGCTCCTTTGTTCTGCCTTCTGTTGGAGGGGGGTGGATGGTGTTCCATTCTGTGGGAGAGCGAGCCCCGTGCTGCTGTCCCACGCAGCAAGGACTTGGCCCCCAGAGACCGAGGCAGGCACTAAACACTTGGAAATGTATCGTCGTTGTTACCGTGTCCCTTTGGTGTAATTTCTTACCACGTGACCAGGTAAAAAGACCCTGAGCCAGTCTCGGTTTTCATCCTTGGCCAACTGTAATTGTGTGAGGCATGGCAGTCAAAACAAAGCAGAAACGGAACTCAAAAAAACCCCCCACAGATCTAGATCCTGCATGCAGTTCTGCCAGGAGATCTTTCTGACATCAGTTAACCTTTTTATCGTCTGTAATAATGCCGGTTCCTCTTTTGAGTATTTGGTCGCCGTTTGTATGTGTATGGAGCTTATCTATTACCTTACAGCGGCTAATACGAGACAGTCCTGGTGTGGCTTACGGTGAGGGAGAACATATAATGCTTTAGTGAACACTGTCTCCCACTGGCCTATCATTAGTCCATCCGGGCTTTGTGGAGAAGCGGGAGGATTTTGAGGGAAGATGAGGACGAGAAGAAAGCAATTTATTGTTCCCAGAAGTGAAGCATGATAGGAAAGCGTAAAGTGGAGGAAACGTGCCGATCCGTGGCAGTCTCAGACTTCGTAGATGTGTTTTACGTTCTAAAGGATGTTACCCCCTTCGTTGGAACTCCCTTTTTCCTACGGAGACAATGTATGTCCTCAGGCTCCTGGGAAAGTCAATAAAAAAAAAAAAAAACCACTTCTTTTACCCGGTAGTGAATAAGGTGTACCTATGTAATGTAAAAAGTATAGAACAGTACAAACAGGTCGTGTCTTAAGCAGTAAAAAGTGGTTTAAGGAAGAAGAAATAAGACACTCAGGGAGTTTCTCCAAGGATGGTTGAGTACTGAAAAGGGAGCTCCACGCTTGCTTGGCACTGGCTCATCTGTCTTTTTTCACCCCAAATGGATGGCTTTCCATTTCCTTAACAGCCATGTGACGAGTAGCACTTGTATACTTTTCAGACATGATTTAGAGTTTCAGTTTAGGGTTTCAGCCGCGGCAGGAGGAAGCAAAGGGAGAATGAGAGAACTTTCCTGAGACAGCCAAGCCCAAGTGTAAAGGAAAGGGAAGAGTTTTTAAAGAGAATACACGTGTTTGTGCAGAAAAGAAAATGCTGTACCGTGGACCGACTGAGCTGGGAGTAGCTGAGGGCTAGATGAGGAGGACCGTGTGTACATAGTTAAGGGACGGGCCGGAAGGGCGGTCTGCCTTTGGGTCGGCCAGCCTGCCGGGGCTACGTACGTACCCCTTGTTCACAGCAGCCAGAGCCTGGCCAGGCCGACCGTGCTGGTGGCAAAGAAGGCTGGACCCATGAGCAGGACAACTGCACCTGCAGCCTGGACAGTCATGGTCGAGTTTGGGCAGGGCCTTTAATTGTAGGGAAATGTGAATTCCGGGTCACTCGTTAATGCAGACACACGCTTTTGAAAAATTTTAAGTTCGCTCACTAAAAGTGAGTTGAAAACTATTTAAATTTCATTACGGGAGGTGATTATTTGACTCTGAAGTGGGAACCCTCTGTAAAAGATGATTCGTTAAGTCCAGGCGTGTCTTCTGCAGTCTTTCCCAAAGTGGTTGTTGAGAAACACAAGTTATCAACTATTTGTCATGAGAAAGGTTCTGAAACTGAGTGAGTTTGGCAGTGCTGCGTATTGCACCCTGGGGAGCTCTAACAAGGAGCTATGCGACAGCACGATAAAGTCCTTCGGTAAAGAAACCTGTTGCAGTGACCCACTGCTGCTCAAACAATGGGTCACGGAACCCTTCCTACCCACAACACCTGTTAACGCCCCATGAGACCAGTACTTGGGAAAGGTGGCACTGATGTTGCAAACAGGGGTCAGATACATTAGGCATTTGCTTGAACTTTGACAGGAGCCCCCTCACCCCAATTTTTAAGATACGATTGTGCATCTCTAAAAACGGCTCTGGGAATTGCGCATCTTATAGAAACCTCACGTTCAGGACTAGTTTGCAGTAAACAATGGATGATTTTCAAAGTATTTCTATAAATTGAAGGAATTACATGGCCACATAGGGAATTTGTACCCAAAAAAGTATGAAACTAAGGAATAAGTAGATCATTATGTATTTAAACTATTCTGCTGAAGTGAAAAAAAAAAACCAAAAGGTTAAAATTTGAAAGAAAACCAAGTAATTCTAATCCTGATAACTTATGCATAAATGGGATTCATTTGCCTTTTGAAGGAAGGCTGACTTATTTAGAAATTCTCTGGTTTATTTTAAATGACTTCAGTAACCTTCTGTGTTCATAAAGCGCGAGAACAGCAGCCCCAGAAGCATGCGGCGTCATTATGTGAAGATTCCAGACTCCCAATAAGCCAAAGTCCTGGGGACTTAGTATGACAAAATTCTCACGTCGTGTACGTCTTCTTTGTAACCCTGTGGTGAATATTTAAAATTTTTGATATAGTGTCCTTATCGTTAAAAATGGAGTTAAAATAGTGATCCTTCTCACAGTGAGGTATGATGAAAGAACTCCTTTAAAACTATGCCAAGTGCTGATTTTTAAAAAGCTCCGGATTGGTGCTGACATTATCTCTGCATGCTCTTTTAAGACTCTGTAGCTCTATTGTGTTAACAGAGTGATAGCAAGGGTCTAGGGTAGTATGTCACCTGGAATATTAGGTAAATAGCAGTAACTGTGACAAATGAATTATATGTTATGTTTGTTTCATTTCATTTTGTATATGCCAGTAGCCAAAAAATTGAGAAGATTGCTAGTTAGGGAATTGAATTCTCTGTGGGTTTTTTTTTTAAACAACATATTTTAAGTCAGTTACTTTTCTGTTATTTAACTAGTATCTAAGATGGTAATTACTATTAGTTTATTATAGTATGTTTTGGGTATCAAAATACAGTTGACTTCCTATACCACCCCCACGAGAAATTTTTATTTGTTTACCTTGCCTAAAATTGGAATTTCTACATGATTAATACAGCCAAAACAGATTTTAGAAGGATACTAAAAATCATATTGCTTATGCTCGGGGAGGGCTTGGTTTAAGTATCCTTTTTCTGCAACCTGAGCATCTGGTATTTTCAAATTAGGCACCTTCTAAATTTGACTCATACATTATGGAAATCTGATGACACGAGGGGTGGATAGGCTTGCTTTGATTTTATGAAATATTAATCATAGCTGTGATTAATGATTCAGCATTTCACATCTGGGTTATTCCTGTCATATTTGAAAATTATACTATTAAATACAGTATATAAACTTAGTGTAGGTGGGGTCACTCTGATTCTCTAGTGTCCTTTAAAAATTAAGTGGAAACTTAACAATATACCAGAAGCTACCAGTGATAATCTGTGATGTTGACAGTTCCTGGCATATTTTATACCCTCAAGGATTTTTAGATACACGTTAGTACACATCTCTTCAGGGAGTTGAAGCTATACAATCTACTTTCCAGAGAGCTGTTGTCTCTAACTAACCAAGATAGAATCTCAAGAGCGGTTTTATTATATAGAGAAGAGAAACAATAAATAGAAATGGTACACCGGTAAAACTGTTTCGATTGTTAGACTCTTGAATGCCACCCCCCACCCCCCGGCCCCCCGCTGTCACTTCTTGACCATTACTACAGGTCAAGCACTGTGCTAAGTACTTGACGTGTGTTTTCCTGTTTGAAGAAGTATATGGGGTGGTGTAATGAGAATCGTGTAAATCGATGGGTTACAACCATCAAAGTATAAGCATCTGCCCTAAATGAATAGAATGTACCGTGTTTGAAATTTGGCATGTACTTTTCATGGGTGTTTTTTTCATATTACACACTTTTTTTTCTGATTATTTCACTTGGACTATTTAACAAATTATTATGGAGCTAAATATAACCCTGGAAGGTAATAATAGTATAGTGAAAAAAAATGGGAAGAAGAGTATGGGCCTAAAAATTGGCCCAGAGTCACTGGAAAATGGTGGTGACTTTAGCAGCCTACACACTGACTTGAAATTTGACTATGAGGGGGCGCCTGGGTGGCTCAGTGGGTTGCGCGTCCGACTTCAGCTCAGGTCACGATCTCGCCGTCCGTGAGTTCGAGCCCCGCGTCGGGCTCTGGGCTGACGGCTCAGAGCCTGGAGCCTGCTTCCGATTCTGTGTCTCCCTCTCTCTCTGCCCCTTCCCCGTTCATGCTCTGTCTCTCTCTGTCTCAAAAATAAGTAAAAACTTAAAAAAAAAATTTGACTATGAGGCAGGCCTATTATTATTATTATTGCCTTAGTTATTACAGAAAATAACAAAAGAGCCTTACCAGCAGGGGAGGGCATCGTTATTACTATTGTTGGTGTTCTCTTGGACAACTTTTTTAGCTGTGTTTGAAAGATACAACGTGTCTGACTTACATATTCTCAGAATCTCCAGACTCTGGAGCAGACCAGAGAGACTGGCGCCATCCCTTTCCCAGACGCCGAGGTGCGGCAGCGTGGCTGATGTCCTGCCTGCTGACGGGTTCGTGCCAGGTGCACAGTGAGGTGCTCTCGGCACCGTGTCTGTGCTGCTTCGTACAAGTGGGGCAGGATTCGTTTTGTAGGTTGTCGTTTCTTCCTTTGGTTTACCTGCTCCTTTATTTGACCTGTTCAGAGCACTTGAGAATTACTTTCTAGAAACAGTTGCACAGAAATGATTCTGATATGGTGGCATCCAGCTGGGGTCACAACCCAGTATCTTAGCCTTTTAAAGTGAGTTAAAAGCACCTGCAGCACAGTCAAATGAGGCTTCACCATAATTCTTGTGAGAGAAGTGGTAAACTTTTGTTTTAAGTTGAGTAGCAGGCACACATGCTACGCGTGGGTGGTTCACATTTGCCTTTGCTTTCTTTGGGGTAGACCGCTGTAGTTGTGCCGCTACAGGTGATACATTTGTACTTCGGATGTAGTTGTAGACATTGTTACACTTAATGTGCACACTAGAGTACGATTAACTGATTTTGCCCCTTCACTGTATTGTGTTGAACTAGACTCTTGGTACTTCTAGCGTTCACATCCAAACTGCAGTGTATATCACTTGGGCTCATCATTAAAACAGGTCGCTGGGCGCCCCCTCAGACGTTCCTCATCTGAAAGTACGGGCTGGGACCTGAGAGGTTGTATTTCTAACCAGTGCTAGGCTTGTGTGCTGCTGTGTCTTCCCTGGGAATTTACCTTTGAATTACTGACCCAGTGATGGTTTCACTGTGTTTGAGATACTCACGTACACTGTTAATGTACACACCGGTACATACACAGACCAGGGCAAAGGGACACGTACCCTTTTCCTAGAACAGATTCTGTCAACAACCTTGTGAGTGTGTGTGTGTGTGTGTGTGTGTGTGTGTGTGTGTGTGTGTGTAAGAAGTCGCATCTCACAGGGGCGCCTGGGTGGCTCAGTCGGTTGGGCAGCTGACTTCGGCTCAGGTCATGATCTCACGGTCCGTGAGTTCGAGCCCCGCGTCGGGCTCTGTGCTGACAGCTCGGAGCCTGGAGCCTGTTTCGGATTCTGTGTCTCCCACTCTCTGGCCCTCCCCCGTTCATGCTCTGTCTCTCTCTGTCTCAAAAATAAATAAACGTTAAAAAAAAAATTAAAAAAAAAAAGTCGCATCTCACAAATTTGGAATTCTCAAGACTGAGATATGAATGGACATATCCATTGGTAATAAGCTGTGTCTTCATTACCTGACATTAGCTAATGATATTGGAAGGGGTCATTCTCAGCAAGAAAATAAAAGTCATGTCACCTCCATCTCATGCTTTGAAAATGTCTACTCATTGGGTATCCGTATGGTAGATGATGGTAAATTATAAATGCATGGGGGCGCCTGGGTGCTTCAGTTGGGTAAGCGTCCGACTTTGGCTCAGGTCATGATCGCGTGGTTCAGGAGTTCGAGCCCCGTGTCAGGCTCTGTGCTGGTGGCTCGGAGCCTGGAACCTGCCTCAGATTCTGTGTCTCCCTCTCTCTCTGCCCTTCCCCCGCTCATATGTCTCTCAAAAATAAGTAAAACATTTAAAAAAATTTTTAAAAATTATAAATGAGTACACACATAGTGGATGTGAGGCCTCAGTTAAATTTGCTCAGTCAAAAAAACTGGGAGACAATTTACGTGATTCTGCTTTTGTCAACTCATTTCTTGGAAAATGTATTTTCTAGATAATCTTCATTGCCAGATTATTGCTTTTTACAAGTTCTAACAAAATGGCAGTTTTTCCCGTTTGCATTATAATTTAACAAGTGACATAATACTCAGTCTTTGTTAGAAAGTAAATTAATGGAAAGAAATCAAATAATGAAAAATAAACGTAGTAGCAAACTTTTTAAGATACAGACTAACATGGTGAGGACTTAAATATTATGTAAATATTGAATATTAGATAAGTAGTTTAGCTACAAATGCCATAACTTTTATTGGTTAATTCCCTAAGTTTAAAGTGCATATTGCTATATAAATTATGATTTTTTTTAAAGGAAAATTTTTGGTCCTACTCGTGGAACTTAAAGGAAGATAGTTCATAGCTTTGTTTTGTTTTTACCAACTTCACTGGAATTTTTTTATATAGAGTTCTTTACAGAGTAAATTTCTTATAGGGTTATTTAAAAATCAGTTAAAGTATGGCACTGCGTGTGATACAGAATTCTCATTGAAATTACTGTCCTTTAGTTTGAATGAGAAATAGTATAATTAAAAAGCACTTTCAGTATTATTTGCTGTGCAGCTAGATTATGTGAGGTCACTTCTGAAATGAAGGCTGCTCACAGGGAAGGTAAGAAGTAGAAATAATGTACTGTGTCTCTTATTTTAGTGTGTATATTTTATTTGCCACAGGAAGCATATGGAAAGCTACTAGATGTAGAAAAACGTCAGAATCAGTTGCAAGCCAAAGGTCTATTTTCAGAAAAAACTAAAACCAAGTAAGTTCTTCTCTTGCATTAAAACATATGAAAAATTTGGGGCTCCTGGGTGGCTCAGTCAGTTAAACGTCCGACTTCGGCTCAGGTCATGATCTCACAGTTCCTGGGTTCGAGCCCCACATTGGTCTCTGTGCTGACAGCTCAGAGCCTGGAGCCTGCTTCGGATTCTGTGTCTCCCTCTCTCTCTGCCCCTCCCCCGCTCATACTCTCTCCCTCTCTTCAAAATAAATGAACATTAAAAAAAATAACATGAAAAATTTGAATGAAAAACATGACACTTGTCATTGGTGTTTTTAGGCATATTTAAAGGCTAGGAATTTGTCTGCTATTTCAGCATTAATCATTCAACTTAGGAGTCAGAATAATAGGTGAGTTTTTTGTTTGGGGGGAAGTTGATATTAAAGTTAAATCTGCATTCCAGATTTATGTATTAAATGATACTTAATTTCTATATTTGAAGATGATGTCCTTAGGATTTTTGTTTATATAGCAGCCTATTCACTGAAATACCAAAAACAAAGATTTGGACTTCCATGTGGCAGTGGAATCAGATTAGATCTACAGTGAAAGACTGTGATGGATTAGATCTGTCAACCTGGTTATTTTGGCCTATTCACTTAACTTTTTCTTAGGCAGAAGACAAATGTTTGAGCATCCCTTGTTTAAGTCGTAAATCCTTCCCCTAGCTCTTTGGACTTAATACTACTTTAGTCCATTGACAGGCTAACTTTGTGTCCATAACTTCTCTTTTGAAGTGAATTATGAAAAGTAAGCACCATTTAAATTTTTAAGAACCCTGGTACCTTTTAGTATCACATGAGTTCCACAGTGGCATGTTTAAATCCTCAAACAAAACATTTGCTAGACTGCGTATCTTTTCTAAAGTAGAATAAGGGCATGAGCTAACACTTCTCAAAAATAGTTTACTTGGGTTTTAAGGCTTTAGAATACAAAAATTTGTTTTCTAATCAAGAATCGCTACTACATGTGTGATCTTTTGTGATACAACTCTAATTGCATGGTTAATTTAAAAGAGAATATATGTGATATTTTAACAGAGACCTGATTGGCAGCAGATGGCTGATTAAGGAGGAACTAGAAGAAATGTTAGTGGAAAAACTGTCAGATCAAGATGTGAGTAATTAATCTTTTAAATTTAAGGGGACCTGTGCCATAAGAATGCAGACAATTGCTGTATTTAGGATCGTCATAGTAATGTTTCTCAGACGCAGGTGTTCCTAAGACAGTTTTCCTTTCTAGAACGTATTTACAGCTGATTTCTGCCACAGGGCCTTACTGTGGTCAGGAAAGTGACAGGCTTGGTGTCTAGATCCTCGTGTGTAAGTGCCTTTGTGTGCTCGGCCAGTTGTTCTAGGGGACTGTGGCAGATGTCAGTTTTCACTTTCTCCGGTGGAGCAGATAGCTGATTGTATAAGCTAATGGTAAGTAGAAGGAATCCTCAGAGGTTAAGTCAGAAAAGAACGGAGCACACGGTTGGTTACTTTCATGCAGTTTGCTGCGCCCCGGCTGACCCACGTGCAGATCTGTAAGGACAGTAGTTTTCATCTTGGAATCTGTAACACCACCTGTATCAGTCATTTGAAATGCTGGCTAGAAAACGCGGTTTCCCAAGATTCAGACCTACCTCAGAATTTCTAGGGGTGTCCTCCTGGAATTCCTATTTTTAACAGCTCCCTGGGGAGTATTCTACCCTATAAAGTTTGTGCTCCCGCATTAGGTTTTAATTGGAGTCTTTTGCTAAATGTTCTAATACATGCCAATGTTATCAGAGGAAATTTGATGTTTTACATATGTGGGTGTTCCAAATTTAGATTATTCTAGAAGATTTGAATGTAAATTTCACAGATTGTTCCAAGAAGAGTTGTTTTCTTCCATGGCACTGGCTAACATTGTTAGTACCTTGCCACCCGTGTTGATTTTAAGTCATGTACTTAAATTGCTCTTTTTCTCATTTAACATATTGAAGAAATTAATGATTTGGAAACGTTGCAATTTGCTTAACAAGGTGTCAGGCATTTGGTGAGCGGTGGATCTGGAGTTAATTTCTAATATCCTAACTGCCAAGTCGGTATTGCTGCATGGATCTAACTGAAAAATCTCTCTTTGCTTCTTCATTGAACGTGTCATTTCATTGTGTCCTCTGTTTTCTGGCTGCTTTGATCTTTATACTACAAGTTTGGGGTTGTTAGTTTTTTGTTTGTTTGTTTTCTCCCATTTTGAAGACATCCCAAGGACTTCATGACAGGTATGCAACAGGAAAGACAAAACAAATAGATACATTTTATATACATGTGTGTGTATATATATATATACATGTGTGTGTGTGTATATATATATATATGTACGTGTGTGTATGTGTATATATATATATATATATATATATACATATATAAAATACGTGTATATCACATGCATAGATAGTATATGTAGTGCATACGATAGTCTTCTATACTTTTAGGGTCCTGGATAGCAACAGAAATCCTGAAACAGATGGCTGGTATCCAGATGAGGGAGGCAGGGACTTCTTAAACCTTCACCCTGGTCCCGGAGAAAGGCAATGCTGTACTTGTAGGTACTCCTTTGTACGTTCACAGTCAGTGTGTGGTGGGATTCAGAGAAGCACTGAGAGCCAAGGACGCAGGCCTGTAAATGGAGGGCGAGAACGGAACTTTGTCAGGCCGGGTACCACAGGTGGCAAAGTATGTCACCCTTACTCAGAAAACTCCCTTCTCTTGTGCGGTAACAGCACAGGAAGCAGTCATTGGAGCCATCTGTTTAATCTTACTGGTGAGATTTCTCCACATTTCAAATTATTAATGGCGGATGTTCACAATGAAGTCAGAGGTGACAGAGGAGTGTGATTTTTAGGGCTGACAAAAACATACATAAGGTTATCAAAAATTGAGTCTCACACTGCACATTAACTAAGGATCTCCAGTGTTAGTTGTCTCCTGCGTAAACACTTTAGAGTGATTACTGTGGCTTCTAATTTTAAGGGGTTAATACCAAGTTGTTTACTTTCTAATCACATGTTCAAGAACTATTAAAAAAAACGCACAGAGTAGCAGGGATAATTTATTTCAAGAGGTTGCCCTTTAAGTCAAGTATCTCTTGAATTTTTAAATAGCTTGATTGTTCGGTTTTAAAGGAAATCATAAACATTAAAGTAACACAGCTTGAACAGCTAAAGATATATTTGCCAAATATATTATGAAATATAATTTGAGAGGTACATTTTCTCAAAATCAAACTCTTCCCATTTTACGATACATAACTTACTGGAAATTATTTTGGAACCTCCTCTTGATCCAGTTAATAAAAGAGTAGAAATTACACTTGAAGATCATCTAAATATGTTTTTAAACGAATTTAAGTCTCCATTTCATGTAATTAGAATACAGAGAAATGGACTTTTCTTTGCATGGTAAGTGTCTTTTGTTTCTTAAGAGAAAAGCCTGGGCACGGCGGGTACGCAGGGAAAGCGTTGCATCTGCACGCTGTTTAAAAGCAGCATGTGAAGGTGCACGGGTGTCATCCTGTCAAAATTCATCAAGAAAAGCAACATCGGAAAGATCAAGTATACAAAAATAGAAAAAACTTAGCAAATGCAATTACACTTGCATCTTCTAATGAATTTTTATTTTATTGTCTGCAGTATGCACAGTTCATTCGGCTGCTAGAAAGGTTATTGACAGTGGAGTGCAGTGCCGAAGAAGAAGAGTTTGTGCAGAGGTTTCGTAGGAGTGTAACTGTTCAATCAAGAAAACAGCTGATTGAACCCTTGCAGTATGATGGGCAAGGAATGGCCTTCAGCACAAGCGAAGGTAATGACACTCTGGGGAGAGAAAATTAATTTCGTGAAAATGGAGAAACTATAGTTATTTTTATTTGCTCTTGCTCCCTGGTATTCATTTGGTTCATTTGGGGGTTTTTTTCTTTGTGTTTTTTTTTTAATTTTTTTTTTT